CTGTCTCTTGGCATACAAGCGCTCAAGAAATGTTGGCAATTGTTACAGCAGCCTAGCCTGGCACAGAGTAGGCGCTCGATATATGCCCTCAATTCTGCTCTTTCATTCACTGCTCAGCTTAGTGGTCTCAGTTCTGAGGGCCATGAGTGGCTAGAGGAGGGACGGATGCAGGTGGGCAGCTGGGTACTAGGGAAGGCTCCTCTGAAGCCAGTGCTGACCTGAGGTGGGGCCCAGATGCTTGGGAGGGTGCTGCAGCCCCTCCCTCCCCAGGGCCCCTGTGGTTTTCTCCCTCAGGCTAGGGTTTGGGAAGACTTTGTCTGCCAAGGAAACAGTATCGATTGCCTTGTCATTGATCTGTTTCCCCATCTGTACTCTTGGAAGGTGCCTGAGGCTGCCCGCCAGGGATCTAATCAGCTTGAAATGACCACCTGGGTGGCCATGCTGAGCGGGTGCTGCCCAAGTGGGGCTGGACATGCGGTGGGGGGAAGGGGGAGATGTTTGGTGAGGGGATTTGAAGCCCGTCCTGGGTTCACATGGGAATATGTTTGCATCTTCTCTGGCTACTGCAGGCTGGGTCACCTGGTCAGCCTCCCTCCATTTCTCTGTCTTTCTGTTTCCTGTCTACACAGTGAAGGCTGCTCTGTGTCAAAGGTCACTTGGGCAGGAATCGGGCTAGGTCTTAAGAGCCTGGCTTCAGACACCAGCTGGGGGGGCCAGTGGCTGAGTGGTGGGAGGCAGTGGGAGCCCCTGAAGACCCTCATGCAACTGATACTCCATCCAGCCCCCATCAACGCTATCATGCTATGCTGTCCTCCTGGGACTTAATTCTCCCTGAAGTCACCCTGGAGGCCCAGAACTTTGTCCGAAGCCCTGTGACAAATGGTGCTCAGCCCGGAGACCTTGATTCTCTCTGACAACCTTCCACCCTCTGTCACATGGCCTGTTCTACTTCAAGGAGGCCGCTGCCTTTGATCCCGAAACCAGGTACTGGCAGCGATGCCTGCTCTGGCCTGGCCTCTGAGCCCCATGGGCTCTTGGAAGGGGCCCATCTGGGATTATCTCTGGTGCCTTGGGCAGGGACTGAGCCTGTCTGTCTCTGAATGCCCGAAGCACAGTGTCCGGAGATGAAAGCCATACTGCCTTGCCTGAGGCACAGGCGGGAGGCGAGATGGACAGGCTGGAGAGGCAGCTTGGTGCCACAGCTACAGGCGGCTGCGGCCTACGTTACTCAGCGCTGTGTGACCTTGGGCAAGTCCCTTCACATGTTCTAGCCTGTCCCTGTGGATTGTAGTCAGAATCAAGGGTGCGTGCATGAGGTCCAGGCAGATGGTCATCGTGGTGGCCACCAGGTTTGTTATTTGGACATGGGCTAGCCAAGGTGGCTAGGGTGCACTTCAGGGAGGAGGCTGGAAGGTGTATCAGGGGATCTAAAGGATGAGGTGATAAATGAGCTGGGCAGTGCAGGATGAATAGGAGTTTGCTTAGGAGACAAGGTAGTGAGACAAGGCAGTGACACAAGTGGAGGGGAAAACACACGCAAAAGCTGTGCTTGGAGATAGCTGTAAGTTCGAGTAAGATGAGAAGAGTGTACTGAGTGATCTTGAGGAGGCCTTGGATGCTCTGATAAAGAAGGCGATAGGGAGCCACTGAAGGCTCTTGAGCAGGAGAGAGGCATCATCATGGCTGTGCTCGGGGAATTTTAGTCTTGTTGTTGTTTTGTGCCATCGAGCTGCTTGCGACTCATAGCGACCCTATGTAAAAGAGCCCTAAATGCCGCTCTATCCTGGGCCAAACTTGCCGTCTCCGACACACTCATTCCCACCATCCCAATCACAGAATCGATCCACCTCATCGAGGGTCTTCCTCTCCTGCACTGTCCCTCCTCCACTCTCCCAAACATGATGTCCCTCTCCAAGGACAAGTCCCTCCTTGCAACATGCCCAAAATACGTCAGACGAAGCTTCAGAATCCTTGACTCCAAGGAACATTCCGGCTTCACCCTCTCCAAGACAAACCTGTTTGTTCTCCTAGCAGTCCATATTTTACTCTAGCAGGGGCAAAATAATTGTAGTCACAAAGAGCAGGCTCTAGGTTCAAATTCTAGCACTGCTATTTCCTAGCTGGTGACTTAAGAAATCCTATTTCCTTTTGGGTCTCAATTTCTTTCATTTATAAAAGAGGTTTTGTTGTGTTGAGGTTTTTTTTTTCATATAAACATTTCTTTGGAAGCAATGCATTTAAAGCACACTGTTGGCATAGGAAACTAAGGGAGTTGTGAGGGTTGCAAAAGTTGTCTAACGCCCGTTATTTGTGTAAAAACAGTAGTACTCTGAGGATTAAATGTAAAATGCTAGAATCAGTGGCTGGTTATTGTGTGGGGCTGATTGGAGAGGCAGATGCCAGAGTTGGAAAGGCAGAGAGGTGAATGTCAGGAGACACTGCGGCTGGATGCAGGAGGAGACTGGGTGCTGTGGCCAGAGACGGGCCCTCACTGTGGAGAGTCCTGGTTTAGAGTCCACAGGAGTTGGCGTGAGTCTCAGCTCCAGTACTCCCCAGCCATGTCACCCTGGGAGAGGCCTCTCCCTTCTGTGAGACTCTGTTTCCCCATCTGTAAAATGGAACTCCAACCCCCACAGTCTTGGACTTCTGGGAGACATCCCAGTGCACCCAGAGCTCGGAGTTGCCAGGAAGGGCAGAGGGAGCAGAGAAGGTGGCTGGAAGGAGAGAGCGTAACAGGCGGGGGGGGGGGGCTGAGAGGGAGGTGAGGGGGATGAGGATGTTCACTGGTAATTAGAACGTTTGAACTTCAAAAAAGTTAATTAATGATGAAGCTGCTGCTGAAGCCAGTGCTCAGGCTAGAAGGGGGGCCTGGCAGTGCCTGAAATTAATTACAGGCTGTGGGGGGAGTGTGGCAGTGCGGTGGGAGGGGCAGGAAGGAGCAAGGCTGGGTAGGCAGGGTCTGAGGGCCAGGTGGGAGGGAAGGCAGCATCCCAAGGTGAAGAAGGGCCCTGGGACCAGAGGGGAAGTGGTTGCCATGGAAACCAGGTCAGTTTCCTGGCAGGTATCAGAGATGCTCCCCAACTCCAGAGCTGTGACTTTGGACTGGAGGGCAGAGGCTTTGCCTCCAAGGCAGCAAATTTCTGGCTGTAGAATGGGAGGGGGCAATAGAGACTCACCTGCTCATTCAGAGCGCTTTTGTCAGGCTTGTCCTAGGTTCTTGCCATTGTTAGACCTGTGAATTCACAGTCCTTGTGGAGGGGATCCTGGTGGCATAGTGCTTAATGTATTAGACAGCTACACAAAAAGTCAGCGGTTCAAATCCACCACCTGCTCCTTCAGTAAAGATATTCAGCTTTGGAAACGCAATGGAGATTCCCTATTATGAATCAGAGTCAACTCTTTGGCATTGGCATTGGTTTGGTGTTCTTGGTTTGTTTGGTTTTTTTTTTTTTTCTATTGTTGCTGTTTTGGGGTCCTTGTGGAATGTTCTCGCAGTGGACAAAGATAGTGAATATGTTGACTTCATGGTTTTGGGATATGATAAATGCTCAGAGAGGCTGGTGGTAGAGATGAAAGGGGGGGGTCACTGGGGGAAGGGGATTCTCAGAGGAGGTTGTAATGAACTGAAAGGGTCCAGAGGATTACCCTTGTGGGTCTTGGAAAGAGGCTTCAGGTAGGAGCAACATGTGCAAAGGTCCTGGGGTAGAGGCTACCTGGTGTTTCTGAACGGAGGTCAGCAAGGCTGGAGCAGAGTGAGTTGGGGTGATGGTGGGAGCAGAGAAGGCCGGGGGCTTGAGAGGCATGGACAGGGCCTTGCAGTCCATGTTGGGGACCTCTAAGCTGATTCTGAAGGAGATAGGGAGGCACAGCAGGGCCATGGCAAGGGCAGGGCGGTCCTTTGATGTTTTTAACGATTCAGTGCTGCTGCATGGGCGGCAAGACCAGAGCAGATGCGCTGGGGCCAGTGTTCCTGCCAGGGGGACACTGAGGCTCTGAGACAACAATGAGGTGCCCGAGACCACAGTGCTGGTGAGTGCACCCTGACTCAGGGGCAGCACTCCCCCATTTACTGCCTCCACAGCCTGAGTTGACTTCCTGTTTCCTGTTGCTCAGTTTCTGGAAGGAGGGCAGACACAGAGCTAGGAATGATGGTGTGTGGAGCTGTATGGCATCAAACCCCACCTGGCTCTAGTCATCACCTCCAGGTCCAGCCAGGCTTCCTGGTGTGGAAGTTCACCCATGAGTCTGACTCCAGCCATTCATGCTGTGTGTACTGTAAGCCCATTTACCATAATTGGCCTCTTTACGACTAGGAACAGGTGTTCTGAGATCTGAGCCTTTGGTCAACGTGAGACACACCTGTTTGGGATGGTCAAGTGGGCCTCCTCCTCATCTGTACAGAGTCAGGTGGGAGCTGTGAATGGGCCCCACTTACCTCTCCAAACAAGTACCCACAGGCCCTACCCAACCACGTGGAGAAGTGGTCTCTAGAGCCTGTGGCTGAGGGAAACTTGATGCATGGAAGGCCCAAGCTAGCCATACCCAGTCTTGCATGGCACTGGGCCTGGGTCGGGCATGATCCTGCCGGTCAGTGATGAACTCCAGCCCTGGCCTCAGGCTTGAAGGGAAAGAGGGGCAGTCAGCTATCTTGTCCATCCTGATCTCAGACCCAGGCCAGAGAACAAGGCTACGCAGAGATGGAAGGGCCCAGCGGGAGAGAGCAGACAGAGGAGAAGGGAGGCAGGCCAGAGAGCTGTGGTCAGGGGTGGAGGAGGCGGGGACAGTCCAGAGAGGGGCTGCTCTCCGGGAAGAGGAAGCTATCCCCGCCAGTGGTGGCCCAATGGGGTTTCGGCCCCCCAGGGCGAGTTTGGGAAGCTGGGAGAGCCCCGGGGTGGGGGTGCGGGTGGACTGGGGAGAAGAAGCAGGGATGGGATAAGCTGTTGTTTGCAGTGGGTGTGCACCTTCTGTGGCCTCTGGTTTTTCCTTGACCTGATGTGCACATGGTTTGAGTGCATCAGCATGCTGGTCATCCTGCTGAACTGTGTGACCCTGGGCATGTACCAGCCCTGCGACGACATGGACTGTCTGTCAGACCGATGCAAGATCTTACAGGTGAGGCACACCCGGCTCTGGCCCGCCCCTTCCACAACCATGCCCCACCCCGCCCACAACACGCAGACCCCACCCATTCCCCACGCCCCGCCCCACCGCGCCTGCCCTAGCCGTGCCCCACCCATTCCCCCCGCCCCCCGCCCCAC